ATAAAAAAAAAGCAGATTAAGTACTTCTAACATCTAATGGCACAGGATATACATTACCATTCTAAAACATAAGGAAGGAAATACTGGATCCAAGCAAGACTGAAAACCAGCTGGGCAAACTCCATACTCTGCATCTCCATGTCTGATGTCAAGCGTGCTCTTCAGAACTCCAGCTCCTTTCAGCTTTGTTGACTCCAACACACTTCTCTCTCTTGGACTGTTTCCACTCCCTGTTAACAGCTCTCCTAGGCAGGTGTCCCACAGCTCTGACATCTACAATGTCTTAGATCTCCAAGGCGATCCAGATTACACAGCTTCACACAAAGACCTCTTTTTTCTTTCTTTTTTTTTTTTTTCCAGACAGGGTTTCTCTGTGACTTTGGAGCTGTCCTGGAACTAGCTCTTGTAGACTAGGCTGGTCTCTAACTAGCAGAGATCCGCCTGCCTCTGCCTCCCAAGTACTGAGATTATACGCATGCACCACTACCGCCCAGCCACAAGGACCTCTTCAGGTTTCCATGCAGGGACACCCCTGACACATGCCTGACTGAAGTGGGTTTCCATAGTCTCTGATGCAAATTCCAACATCTTTTCTGTGCTTAACTCCAGAACCATGTGACCCAAGCTGCCAAGTGATGCTGCTTACTGGGGCTGGAACATGGCCCACTTGTTCAATTGCTTCTTTCCCAGTTTTCTGGTTTTGATGGTTTCCTTCCCTGCCTAAGCCTGTCTGTCCTGAAACTGGATCTGTAGCCCAGGCTGGCCTCAAACCCAGAGATCTTCCAGCTTCTGCCTCCAAGTGCATCATCACACCTGCTTTAAGATTTCCAGTAATTCCTTTTCACAAGTTAGAAATTCAGCTGGGTGGGATCTTGCCCTGAGGTCACCACTACCTTTATTCTGCTTCTTATCTATTTACTCCCTGAACACAGAATTTAGCTCCATTCCACTTCCTGGTGCTCCTTTTCTCCCCAATCTGTACATTTTGTGTTTTACCTTGCTCAGCTTGCTCCTTTTCATTATAAATATTTATAAGCACAAGCAACCACACAATGGAGTATATACTAGGTTGTTTTGAGATTTCCTCTGCCAACGGAATTAGTCCAAATCTCTTCATTTTAGCCTCAGGTAGACTTTTCAGACAAGGGCAAAAAGCCGCCACTTCAAAATGTCACAAGAGTGGTCTCTAAGCCACATACTAATCTTCTCTTGAAACCTCTTGATCCAGGCACCCACTGTTCAAATCACACTCAGTACCACTGTCTTCCATGCTCCTCCTAGGATGGCCCATTAAGCAACTCTTAAAGTGCTCAACTGCAGGTGCTGGAGAGATGGTTCCGTGGTTAAGAGCACTGACTACTCATTCAGAGGACCCAGGTTCAATTCCCAGCACCCACATGGTAGCTTACAACCATCAATAGCTCCAGTTCTAGGGGACCTAACACCCTCACACAGATATACATGCAGGCAAAACACCAATGCACATAAAATAAAAATAAATACATTTAAGAAGTGCTCAATTGCTTTCTAACCCACAGTCCCAAGGTCCATAATCCTTCAAATGAAAGCATGGTAAGACCTGTTCGTCTGGAACCTCAAGCTCACTCCTGCTTGATCCAGAAAGCCTTATTCCTCTCTCTCCAAATCCCACCACCCTCTCAGAGACTCTCCAAGAAAGAAAAGGGCCAACAAGCTCAGTTTTACATTCTTGGTGGCTGCAGCTGCTTCCCTAAAGTTGCCAGCAGCCTAAGTCCCCACCTAAAGTGCTCAGCTTTCGACCATACTGGTGGCAAATGCATCAGCACCCCTTGCCTACAGGCCACATAAGCTCCCTGCTTTACTTTGGGCATGTGATTTCCCTGTCCTTGATCTCTAGAGGTGGAAGGATCACCTGGGAATTGCTTTGTTCAAACAAACATGTTATTTTACTTTTTCAATTCAGCTTGATCTGGCTTATTTTGTCAGAGGAGAAACCCATTATCTAGATACAGAAAACTTATTAAAGCCTATCATGGCTACACCCCAGTCCCTAGTAGCAACTTCTTTTTTAGGGTTTCTATTACTACGAAGAGACACCATAACTACAGCAACTCTTATAAAGGACGACATTTAATTGGGTGGCTTACAGTTCAGCGTTTAGTCCATTATCACCCTGGTGGCATGCAGAGAGACGTGCTGGAGAAGCTGCATCTTGCTCCTGCAGGCAGCAGGAAGTGATCTGCCTCACTGTGTGTGGCTTGAGCATATTTGAGACATCAAAGCCCACCTCCACAGTGACACACTTCCTCCAGCAAGGCCATACATCCTAATGGCTTCCTTTGGGGACTTTTTTTTTTTTCAAATCACCAGAGTCTTTAAATTCTTTAAAACTTCACAAGGCAGGCCTCCATCTACACTGCTCTCAACATTTGTTGCTGTTGTTGTTTTGAGATAGGGTTTCTCTATAAAACAGTCCTGGATTGTCCTGAAACTCACTCTGTAGCCTTAAACTCACAGAGATCCGCCTGCCGCTGCCTCCTGAGTGCTGGGATTAAAGGTGTGTGCCACCACAACCTGGCTTGTTCTTAACATTTTTATCCTTGAAGCTCCTCAAAAACTTCCCATTGAGCTCTCAACACTCAATGGGTTTTCTAGTCCAAAATTCCAAAGTCCTTCCATAGCCCTCCCCAAAACATGGTCAGGTCTGTCACAGCAATACTCCATCTTAGCACCAACTTGCCTTAGGGTTTCTATTGCTGCAACGAAACACCATGACCAAAAAGCAAGTTAAGCAAGTTGGGGAGAAAAGGGTTTATTTGGTTTACACTTTCATATTGCTGTTCATTATTGAAGGAAGTCCGGGCAGGAACCTGGAGGCAGGAGCTGATGCAGAGGCCGTGGAGGGTGCTGCTCACTGGCTTGCTTCCCCTGGCTTGCTCAGCCTGCTTCTTTAGAACCCAGAACCATCAGCCCAGGGATGGCACCAGCCACTATGGGCTGGGCCCTCTCATATTGATCACTAATTGGGAAAATGTCTTATAGCTGGATCTCATGGAGGCATTTTCTCAACTGAGGCTCCTTCCTCTCTGATGACTCTAGTTGTGTCAAGTTGACATATTGTTGTGCCCAAATTCTGAATCCCAAAATCACCAAGAGGCCCATTTCAATGCAAAAGCAAAGAGTCTTTTATTGTAGATGTTTAACCAGCTAACCCCATTAGCTCAGGCCTTTCACCCATTCACCACAGCGAATGGCTGGAGAAAGACCCTGAGAAATCGCTAGGCGGGGATGTCATAGAGCAGCATAAGGGGAGTGTCTAGGGGTACACAACAGTCTCAGGACTGGTGCACTTCTAGTCTTGGACAGCCTGCCCTGTGTTGATTGGTCAACTGGTTGTTATGGCCCATAGGCCCTCCCAGGGTGGTTGCTATGCTCTGCACGTCACTGTTGTGCACTTGTCCATAAAACACACCCAGAGCTATAAATCACAGCCCCACCAGCTAACTTCTGATTGGTTTTTTGCCACGAGGAGGGCATCTGACCTCCTAGTGACCAGGACAGGAGTGGCAAGGTCATGCAAGCACATGGTAGCCTGTCATGGCTGCTAAGACAGGAGGGAGGGGGTGAGGGGCACGCACTGGTCACTTCATTACTCCAACATGAAACCAGCCCGTACAGATGGTGAGAGGTGAGGGATGAGGCCTAAGTGTAGGGATAGCATCCATCCAGGTGTGGCCCCTGCTGGGATCCCAACTCACAATCTTTGTGAGCCTGCCTTACAGGGCCCCACTTCCCCTCACTCCAACTACTTCTGCTGCTGGCCCTTACCTGGAACTGTCCATGCACCAGCCTGCCCAGGATGCCCTTCCCAAACCCACTCCCCAGAGGCTGTGATGTCCTAAGTGGGGTGGACTGGGCTCTGCCCTCCTTGAAGCTGAAGACCTGATGGCCGGCCTGCCTGTTTTGTACTGCACCCACCCTGAGGAAGGCGTGCGTTTTAGCAGGTTGTGGCTCGTGGACCCAAGAACCCAGGGTCCTCCAAACTGATGGTCTCTCATATACGTGGGCTGAGAGGGCTCTGTCTGATGCCAGCCAGCCCTGGCATGGCAGTTGGGGGAGGCAGGAAGCTGTGACTTTTGGAGTCACAGCATGCAGCCCAGGAGATGACTCAGGCCTGCTTGGGTATATGTGTATCTAGGGCCCACATGGACAAAGGCAAGCCCATCAGATATGGAAGAATGCCTGGCAGCCAGGCTGATGTGGAATTTTCCCCATTCCAGAGTTGCCTAGAAATGTCGGGGGCAGTGGGGCTCTGACGTGGCCCATGCTTCACTGGATGGCCAGCTGGTTTTGTACTGCCCTCAACCGGGGCTAACCCCAGACTAGCTCTCATCCTTGGTTCTACTTTGGGATGAAGGACAGCCTGAACCTAGACAGGCACCCACTTCCTTCTTGCCCAGCCCTCCTTGTGATGGGCATCATCCAAAGGGAAGTTAGTGAACCGGTTAAGTGACAGGACCCTTTGGAGCCAAGCCCCTTCCCTGAGTCGGCCCAGGGATCCTGGCTCTTCTTCATCTGTTTTCCTTGGGTACCAAAAACGTGTTCCTGGCTTCCACAGAGGGAGCTAGGAAGACCTATGTTCCACTGGATCCCGAGGAGTAGTGCTCTCAATAAAAGGCTGGCAGCTAGTCCTGCCGCCTTTTCCCTGAGCCCAGTCTCCCCCTACCCGACACTACCACCAAGCCCCAGGCACCCTCTATTCCCTTCTGGGGCTGGCGGCAGGACAATGGTCCCCTTGGCCCATCGGAGACAAATGGGCCTTGTTGAGCGGGCGGCGGGGGCGCGATATTGCGCCCCAGGGAGTTGAATACCGCTTCTGTGCCTCTCGGGCAGGCGCGCAGGGGACAGGAGGGGGGGGGAGGGGGCAGTGGCGCCCATTGGCCGTGGCGCCAGGGGCTGGGCCAGGCTGCTGGCCTCACCTGGCCGAGAGTGGCAAGAGCGGGTGCGGCAGCCGCTGCGGCGGCGGGGCGGGGGCATGGACCAGGCCTGGCAGAGCGCAGGGCCCCGGCGAGTGCGCCCCGCCGCCCGGTGAGCGGCCCGGCGGCGGCGACGGCGGGGGCCGGGGCGACCCCTGTCACCCCAACCCAAGGAGAACCGGGCCAAGGTATGTCGGGAGGTCCAGCACTCACGGTGGTTGTGCCCTGCCTCAGTCTACTACCTGAGCACCCGCCTATGCTACTTCAGACAAACTGGGATCGCTTGCTCGCCCAACGAGGGGTTTAAGATTGCTGCAGAGCCGCTTCACCAGCACTGTGTCCTGCAGGCTCAGGCTGGTTGCTCGCCCTGCTCTGGGTGTCCCCCCACCTCCGCACGCACACCCCGACCCCTGAAAGTGGGATGGGTGCGGCTTGAGAAGGCTGGTTGCTCGCCCTGCTGAAACTGAGTCCAACAATGATTAATCCTCTTGGACACCGTGGCCTGAGCCCTAGTAGAGAAGGAGGGGCAGAGATCTCTCCTTACCTGCCTTTCCCAGGAGGGACTGTCAAAGCAGAGACTGGGGCCGTGGGCAATGACACACTCTTGTGCTTGGGGAAGACCCCTCGAATACGTCCCTCTGGGGAGATGAGGCCACTAAGGTGAGACAGATAGGACAGGAAAGCTCCTATGTGCAATTGCACAGTTTCGGAGTCCTGGGCCAGTGCTCCATAAAGAGTTCTGCAGGTTGGTCTACTACTCCCTTAGTGAAAGGCCAGCGCAGAGTACTGTGGGGCCCCTCCTTCTTCCCGAGCTGTCTATAGTGACAGGTACACAGCTGGCTGCAGCAATCCACACTAGGAAGGGCAGCAGGTCTGACACCTGACACCCGAGGTTACTGTGGTGATGGTGAGGGTGCCATGGAAATCTTCTAAGAGGTGTGGAGGCCACCCAATCAGAACGCAACCTTTCCCTCTTTGGGGAGGGTGACCTTAGGTTCAGAGGGTCCTGTGGGCAGCACAGCCACCCCTAACGTTCCCTGCACTTGCCCTACAAGGCACCCTTGCTACTTATCTGAGGGATGCGGAATTCCAGAACCAAGGAAGTCAGTTGCTTGGGGAAAATCAGTGACTACCTGAAGGTTGCCGTTCAGAAGTGGATGAGTTCACGACAAGCCACAGGAATTTTTTGTGATCCTCCTTTCAGAACTCCTGCCCTACTCAGGACTCCTCTGCCCAATCGGGGTCTTACTTCTTTGATCTTCCTGGGCTCTATCAACCCTCTTGCCTGACACTGGGGAGTGACCTTTTACCTCAGAAGCAGAAACAGCAGTGTTCCCAGCTGCTGCCTCGGGCTGCTTCATAGTCTGCCTCTTGCTTGGGAATAAATCTGCCTTAAGGGAGCTCCCTGTGGACATGGAGTGAGTGCCTGCCCCATTCGCACCTTTCCCTTCCCAGGTTCTGTGCTGACTTGCCATCCAGCAATGGACAGGTCTGTCTCCCACAGTGCCTCTCCCTGGGCTCCAGGGCACAGAATAAGCTGTCCTGTGCCAGAGGGCAGTGATCCGCCTCGGAGAATGGTCCATAAATAGTGGGACTCTGGACCCAGACTGTGGCTTGTGACACGTTTGGTTTTGTTCCGATGCTTTGTTTTTTCGGGACAGATTTTTCTCTGCATAGCCCTGGCAGTTTTGAAATTCATTCTGTAGAGAGGCTGGTCTCAGAATCAAAGATCTGCCTGCCTGCCTCCCAAGCACTAAAGGTGTGTGCCACCACCCCCCAGCCTGACAAGCTCCCTGCTTTGTTTTGACTTCATGAGAAATATGAATGACTCTAGAGAGGATGAAGCAGGATGGAGCTGAAGTGCCCCCAAGGGTCGCCAGACTGGATATCTCTGGGATCATCAAGTGGGAGCTCATAGAATTTTCCAAGAGTTACCTGCTTTCCCATAAGCAATCTCGGGGGCAGAGAAATTAGGCCCACAGTAGCACCCTGGCTTTCTGAGACACTGGGAAAGCCCTCCCTCTCTGCTATAATTTTGTTGGGTGTGGAATGTGAGTGTGGAGACAAGTTGGGTATAAAACATGGGAAACATAGGTCATTGGAAGGATCTAAGGGGCCCATGCTCATGACCAGATCCACTAAGGCAAGGACTCAGATGCCTCACACTTTTTGATCTTCCCAGTGAGGGAGAGCATGGTGGCACCTCTGTTAGGCAAGAGGGAGCCCCTTGTCAGACACCACCCTACTGGAGAGCCCTGGAGGCAGGCTGTACTGAGGGCACCCTGAGTGCAGGAACGGAGCAGTGTGCTTATCCTGGGTATTGTGTGTGGATCAGCAAGGCCTCTGTAAAACTCTCCTACCATGCCATGTGTTTATGCAAACAAATGCGTCTTCAGACTGTAAATTGTATGGCCGGGATATTATAAAGTACGGATTATTTACTGATGACTCCTCCATGCTCAGTCCTGGGAAAACATACGTATTTAGAGGACTAAGGTAGTGACTTGACTTTTGACTGGCATCTGTGACTTGCTACTTCACACTAGAGCTGCTTTGATGCTTGGACTTGCTACCAGGAAGGCTGCTGATTTTGCATGGGCAGGGGAGTGTCTCAAAAAGAGCTGTGAATATGTTTCAGGTTATGGCTTTGCCATGGTTACTGGGCCCATTTCTCCACCTGATAAATGGGGCTAGCATATAATACTGTTGGGTGTGTGTGTGTGTGTGTGTGTGTGTGTGTGTGTGTGTGTGATATGTAGGTCAGAGGGCAGCTTCCAGGAGTTGGCTCTCCCTCCACATGTGGGTTCTGGGGATCAAACTGAGGTGCAAGCACCTTTACCTGCTGAGCCATCTTACTGACCCATTATAAATTTTTTACTTTTTTCCAAAGTAATACAGTGTAGGGGGAAGCCTTTTCCTTGCCAGCCACTTTGGTTTTGCCCCACCAGTCGCCTGGGCTCTGCCGCGTTGCAGTCCCTAAATAACACATAATTAAGACACTGTATTAATTATGAAGCTGTTGGCTGTTTGCTTGGTTTCTTACTGGCTATCTCTGACTTAAGTATTTACCTCATAATTGTTAATCTAAGTATTTCTCTTACCGGAGAAAGGGTCCGGACCTTTTACTCCTCTGGAGGCTACATCATGACTCCCTGTGTTTCTCTTTCCCAGAATCCTCCTCGACTCCTAGTCCCACCTATCTTGCTTCCCTAATGGCCAACAGTGCTTTATTGACATATACACAGGACTTCCCCATCAATACAGACTATGGTAAAATGTGGATGCATATATAGTCACATTATATTTACCAAATCAAAATACATTATTGATGGTAGGTGACTCCATTCCCCATTTCTTGGGGAAGAACACTTTACATGTGGTATCATTTTAGACCCTTTAACCTAAGTACAAATGTACAGTTTTGCCCTTATGAATACATTCATTCTTTATAGTGTGTATTAAGGCAGCTCTTTTTACCTCTGGGCTCAATTTCCTTGTCTGTGGAATGAACATAAAAGGTCTATTTGGGTTGGTTTCTGCCTAGGGATGGTACTGTGCACAGTGCACTGAGTCTTTTTTTTTTTTTTTCAAGACAGGGTTTCTCTGTGGCTTTGGAGGCTGTCCTGGAACTAGCTCTTGTAGACCAGGCTGGCCTTGAACTCACAGAGATCCACCTGCCTCTGACTCCCAAGTGCTGGGATTGAAGGTGTGTGCCACCACCGCCCAGCTTGTCTGAGCCCTCTTATGTGATTAAAACTACCTCACAGATAGTTGGCTTTCAGCTTGAAAGTATTGGCCTCCCTGGACCACAGCTTCTGTGTGCTGACCCTGAGGAAATGTTTCTCAGGAGATTTGCCACACTGCTGCTGGTCCCTTCTTAATCACACCTCATTTCTCAGCCCTGGTTAACAAGCACCAATTGTCCTAGTAAAGCAAAGGCTTCATTCCCACAGATTCTTAATCTGAAATATCACGCGAACAACCCTGAGCTGGCTTTCATAAGCCAGGCCTCCATCGTTTTCATGCCTCCTAGCATTATCTTGTCTTCCAACTTCCCCAGACCTGCCAGACAATCTCAGGGCACTCTGTGGCTTTTCCAGCTCAAAGTTCCAAACTCTTCCACAATTCCCCCCCAAAAATGACATGGCCAGGTCTGGCACAGGGACACCGCTGTTTTCCAGCACCAATTTCTTTTCTAGTTAGGTTTCTGTTGCATGGACAAGAGCAACATGTGGAGGAAGGCTGTATTTTAGCTTCCCGGTTTCAGCTGGGAAGCTGACGCAGGAGCTCAGGTCAAGAGGGTTGACTCAGAGAACACTGTTCAGGGGCTCATTCCCAGGCCCACCCAATTAGACGAGCTGGACCCTCCCTACCTCATCCCCCTGTCCCTGTCCCCATCCCTCCTTACCTCATCCCCCACCAGACATGACCACAGATCAGTCAGGTGGAGGCCTCTTCCCAGGTGTGTCTAGGTTTGTGTCAGATTGACAATAGAAACTAACAGCCATGGTGTGGTGGCTTTAGTTCCGGTGGGAGGTAGAGGCATATGATCCCTATGAGTTCAAGGCCAGCCTGTCCTGTATAACAAATTCTAGACCACAGGGAGACTGTCAAAGACAAAAAAAATAGTTGGTACAGGGTCTGTGAACCTCTGGAAAGAAACCACAAAGACCAGTCCCTTAACTTCATTTGCTGTCATTATGTTCATGTTTCAATGACTCTGATTCAGTCACATGGGTCCCCTCAACCGCAAGGGAGGATGGGAATTAAAGCCTGTGTGACCATAGAGAAAAGAAAGCTATCTTTGGAAATTGGAGAGTCTCCTAAGACTTCCCCCTTCCGCCCCCTTCCCCTGCTGGGTCCTGGCTGCTGCAGCAAGCCTCAACCTATTTTCTCTACCACAGCTGTCTGCTTTCTCCCCCTAGGAGTCCTTACTCTGGGCAGATGTACCCTCTGTAATATGTATGGAACACATCAACTTAAAGTCTATTGTGATGTCCACAATTTATCAACAGACAGCGGGAAATCAAGCTGAAGACCAAGCATGCTGGCTGGCGAGATGGCTGCTGTGCCCAATCATGAGCCCCCAGAGGCACCAGGAGTCCGAGTTCATATGCAAAAGCAAAGAGACTTTATTGCAAGCTTGAGTTTGGGCCCTCTGTCAGCTCCAACACAGCAGTTGGATTAGGGAGAGCATTGACCTCAGCTATGCCAGGGTTTTTAAGGAGTAAAGGAGGGGCTGGGGGTAGGGGAATTCTGGATTCAGATGGGGGTTGAACTCCTGATTGGGCAGGAATGGGATAACAGAAGTCTTGTCAAACAAGTATTGGTACTAGCATTGCTGCAAGGAAGTTGGCAATCTATATAACAAGTTAGGTAAGCTATTTTTAGTGTTCTGGAGCATCTAGTACTTGTCTCAATTCTAGTTGATCCACCACAGGGTACAGTCTGTTTTTTCTGATTATTGCAAGGGTGAGGTCTAGTCCCAGTATTGTTAGTGTGCAGTCTGTCATGGCTGCACTGACGTTAAGATAGACCTCTTCATTCCCCTGCTTCATGTAACTAGAGAGGACACAATCATGGGTCCTGTGTGTCCATGGGCTCTAGAGGAAGAGACGGACCATCACACAGTACCCCTTTCCTGCGTTTAGGACTGTACCATGAATGCATGGAGTCAGCCCAGTGTTGTAGGCCCATCATGCAGATGCGGCAGCATAGTGAGTCTGCATGGTAAAGGTTTTACTTTAGCTGGGCTGTCTCACAATCTTGGACATGTAAGCCACAGGTTTCTCCCAAAGAGAATTTGTCTCAGCATTTTCAACCTGTTAAGGGGACAGGGATGATGTACTCTTCTCTGTAACTGCTTCCAGCTGAAACTGGGGTGTCAGTTGTCAGTTGGCTGGACTGGTTCACAGTAGCTTTCAGCAAGTCCAGAGCTCAGCAGTTTGCAGCCTACAGGTGCTCCCTGGATGGTGTCTGTTAAGTCTGTTGAGAGAAATATAGACTAAGGACAAAAGTTAAAATTTTAGGAACTTAAAAGAAAACCTTATATTTGGATTTTTTACTTATCCAGAGTCTATTTGACCTGTGACAGGTGGATTTAAGCCTTATGACCTTTTTGACTCCTTGAAGCGTACATAAATTTTTAGTTTTTTAAAGGATATGTAAGTTCTAGATATATTAGTGCTTTTATTGTACTGAAATCCATATTTGTAAAGAAAGCAGTTAACAAGTGTTTGTAAAACAGCTGGAACAGATTTACACCTTGGAGATACAGAAAAAGCTATGGCTTTGAATTAGTCAGATGAAAAACATCTTTAAATCTATACTTAGAAGACAACCAAAGGAAATTTAAAATATTGAGTTTATGACTGGATAGTGAGTACCTGGTGCTCTATCAGTTTATTCAAACTTTTTAAAAATTAATGTTGAAACTTTAAACCTCTGAAGTATCAGTGTAATGATATATACCATTAGTCAAGTTTGTAAGTCATATAGGGTGTCTTTTTTTTTAAACAAGAAACCTAGTTGTCTAGCTGACAACGCTACAGTTAGCTTAGCCTTCAATGTCAGAGATCTAAGAAGGATTTACCTAGACAGATTTCCCAGGTTCCTGTGGTCTCCATGACAATGAGGGCAGAGGTATCAGGACAGTGGTCTTGGCTGCCAGGTCCAGATGATGAGAGGCTTTCCTGTGGAGGGGGACTATGGAGAGATTGGCCTCCCTTTGTCTAGGTAGAGCGGGGCATCACCTCCCCAGTGTCCTGCTTGTTCACAGTTTGGCTGAGCCTTGGCAGAAGGCGAGGCATTGGGGCAGTCCTGCCCAGTGGGCAGCTGGTTAGCATTACCTGGTCCAGGTGGAGTTGTCAGTTGCTGTATCCATTGTCTTCTTGAAGATCTTGGGAGCCACGGTCAGGATCTGAGAGTCTCTGGCTGTCACATAAGTTTTCAAATGTCATATTCAGCAAATCTCTGTCAGTTTGAGGACTTGAGCCAAACAACTTCTGTTTGTTTTTAGTTATTTGTTTTAGGGTGTACCTTGAAAACATATAAGAGGCTAGATAAATTTTTTTTCTGTACTTGATTACATTAATCCTTAGCATGACTTATAAGAATAGTTCTGAACATTTTAAGGCTCAATCATATTTATCAGTTTATAATAAAAACAATTTCTGAATTGAAACTTTCCCTAGTATTAAGATGGGACTTTTAACTCATAAACATAGTCTACAAACAGACTGGGAATTTTTCTGATCCTTACATAATATGTAAACATTTGACATGCAGGCAACACTAGCCTACTCCTGTAAAAAGGTCTTTTGACCCCCTAGAGTCTTGAGGTTGAAA